AGTGAGTAGGACTTCCCTGGCAGAGGCTATATATTCGCGCGGCCATGTGAGAGCATTTCGAGGGGGAGAGTGGACTCTCCCCACTCTCGGCCGTACCAAGGCATTTGGGGACAATCCACTGCTACTAAACACGGAAGCCAGTTAAGCGAAAGGTTCTTCTATTCCGTCCACAACCATTTGAACCATTTGTGCTATATATTGACGTTCACTTGTAAGCAGGAGCGATTTGAAACAACAACACTACAGTCAGGACCGATAAGTGCCGTTGAAGTAAGAACACAGTGTACTGGCGCAACAGATATATTTTTAAAATTGAAAGACACGGTTCGAGTAAAAACGGGGAAACTTACTACAAAATAGTTTTATTCATTGTTCTGCTCGTTCAGATCACGTAGGGCTTCTTCATCTTTTTCCAGTGCGTTTACTGTTTGTTGCCCTGCAATAGAAAAACAAACTCGCACTAGAATCGTCGCAGGGAATGATTATTATTACCATCACAAGCTTCATGAATAGTTTGACTTTCAACCGCTTCAATTACAAATTATAAAGAACTACCAAAACCCATATTCATCACTACCATAATAAGGAAGGTGAGTCATTTGTAAACTATTTTACAGCTTGCTTTTGCTTGAAACTATAATTTCGGTCTATCTTTGACTTGATAAATGATGAATTTCGCTTGCCTGAGATCGCATTGTTACAAATTACCAAGTTAGGCTGAGTAACTATTCATCCAGGTTGTCAGCTCCAAATACGTCAGGCAACCAATGGACTGCAATAAACGCCATGTAACATGCATAAATATCACAAAAATTAACATGTGACGGAACAATACTGCGATTAGCCGATAAAAAACGACATTAAAAATCCGCGACAACATGTTACACAAAAGCGAGAATCAATGACATGACTTTTCGACCATGCCTTCAAAGCCCGGTAACGCTGTCGTTCGAAGCGCCTCTTTATACGAGGATCCCAAGGCCGATTAAACAAGAAGTTATGAATGAGGGGATGCGATGTGCCTGGAAATGCTCGATGTGCACAACTGTATATGATGTAAGCTGACTAACTTCAAAAGATGTTGAGCTCGGCGTCTGCAAACGCGATTTTGTGAGAATGCTTGACCGAGCGACTTCAGTAAAACTAATAAGGTGACAACCAATTTTGAAGACTTACGAAACTATTTATCCCAAGTATTTATTCACCTCTAAGTGAGGATAAACAAGATACGTCAGAACAGGGAATGCTGGTTTCAAAGCATCTTCTGACCCAATAGTTTAGAGAAAAAGTAAAAGTTTAAAGCTATGGTTATTGGGAAGAGTGTATTTGGTTCGTATACAGAAGTAGCATCATGTGCGACTTTTCTGCCAAGAGCTTAGTGTGTGGTGTGTGCTACTGATGTCGACAGATACAAGTAGTATGTATCATCAATCGAAAGTGAAGTGCCTGGTGGCAGAAGGTTGGGAAGATAGAAAAAAAGAGAACGAGAACAGAAGGTGCAATGAGGTCTGAGACGAATGACCGACTTTTTGTAAACAAGGCATTTACTGAATGGTCCCCAGATTTTATTAAAATGCATTCGATTGTCCTGAAGACGCCACAACAACACGACAACACTTTAACCAGCAATACTTTCCGTAATTGAGTCGTACCCACCAAGTGAGTCAAGAGTCAAAAGCGAACGGGTTCGAAGATATATTTGATAGGTTATCTATGTATGGACGTGGATAGGACTTCCTTCTAAATACGCTACTTTGATTCGATCGATGCTCATGCTATCGTTATTGACGTTCTTATGGACTATATACTAATTAGGTTCATCTTGAAAAGTCCTGATTCAAGGGGTCGTTGATGTGAGTCTCGACGAACGAAGACATTTGTACTATACCGTAAGTCAGGTTGAATGTAAACATCAGTTGATTGCGGCTGAGTGGAAGCAGGTCTAATTGAACGCATTGGGTACATTATTATTATTATTATTATTATTCACAAACACCTTATGGGTACATAAGTGCTGTGAAGAAACCATTTCGGGTTTCTTCAAAAATGCAATAATACACAATTTTCAATAGTGTTAACAATACATATGCCATGTTTGAGAAAGGAAGGAAAAGGAAAATAAAATATTAATAATAGAATAATAATAATAAATGAGGTTCTGTGTAATTAGCAAGAATTTTGAATTGATTTTGAAGGAGGAAAGGAAGAAACTAAGGAAATAGAAATAAAGGAGACGCGGGAGACGTAAATATTTTAACGCAGAACAAGAACAAACAACTATGTATGTATAGCAAAAACGAGTAATAAAAATAAAATAAAACAGAATAAATTAATAAGTAAATAACTTATTATTGCGGTAAGATATGACGTTAGAATAAGTGTTTGTGCGAGCATAGTCATAGTTTTGGGTGATGCTCTGAAAGTTTCAATTAAGTGCAAAAGATAATCAATGTGTATGAGGTGTATATACATAGTGAAGATAAAAAGAGACTGATAAGTTTTAATTCAGCGTAACACAAGTTATTGCCTTAATCCAAAGCTTCGTAATCTTAAGAATAATATTTATTTAGAAGGAAAAAAAGGAGACAGTAAAGAGATGAACACATGGTGAAAGGGTTCAACCATGATATGTGATATGTTCCTTAACTGTGGAGAATGCTTTTCTCGCAGTTTCGTCCAGATCAATGGATTTCGCATTTCCACGAAGTTGTTCGGTTAGGGGTTTCATAAGGGATGCGCATTTTGGCATGAACCATCTATAGAAACATATGAGGCCGTTAAACATGTGCAGCTGCTTAATCGTGGTCGGTTATGGGTAGTCCAGAATGGCCGCCACTTCGCTTCTAAAATGTCGAATGCCTCGAGCATCAACTGTGTGTCCTATGAAATCTAAGGAGTCGGTTCCGAGTTGGTCTTTCTGAATATTTACAGTAATGCCATGTCTTCGAAGTTTTTCGAAGACAAGGTGCAGATGCTAGAGATTCCCTTCTCTGTTCGGACTTGCTATCAGTCAGTCATCAACATACTCATGCACGAAGTTTGGACCTCGAAAAATGTCATCTACAAATCTCTGGAAAGTCTGGGCAGCATTCTTGAGTCCGAAAGGCATTCGCGAAAGTTCGTAGAGTTCGAGGGGAGTGATGATGTTGGTTTTTGGAATGTTGTCAGTGGCCATTGGGATTCGGTTATAGGCTTTAATCAAGTCGATTTTCGAAAAAGACAGTTGAACCTTTCAAGGTAGCTGTCATATCGTGAGTTTGAAGCGACGGGTAACGATCGGGAATGGTTTTTGCGTTCAAACTCCGACGGTCACCAGTTGGACGCCAATCGTTGATATCCTTTTTAGGGACCGTGTGCAAAGGAGATGCCTATGTGTTGTTTGACGGTCGAATGGCTCCTATGTCTATCATGTGGTCGAATTCACTTTTGGCCAACCTCAGCATTTCAGGAGCCAGTCGGCGTGCTTTCGAGAATACAGGTGGTCTTTTAGCCCAGATGTGATGTGTAACATTTCGGGTTACACAAGGCAATTTCGGTTGCGGTTGGTATATCCCAGAGTACTGATCAAGTAATGGTTGATAGAATGGGTCTAGTGTGTGCCTAATTCTGACTTGGGATAGTTTGCATCCGGAAAAAGAAGTTACGCAAACAGATAAATTAGTGTTCCCGTCTACTAGCCTCTGTTTGTGCGTATCGATGAGTAGATTATTGTGTTGTAGGAGGCCTATACCAATGATTGGAATAGAAACATCTGCGACAAGGAAGATCCAGTGAATGAGTTTGCGTAAACCCACGGTGGGGGGAAACGTACCTTTTACCATATGTGACGATTGGCTTCCCGTTCGCAGCCTGTTAGTTAAAAACAGATTCATGAAGTCGTGCTGAGGTTGTAGAAGTCGTCTTCTGAGTAGCATAACCAAGCTTCGATACCATCCGGCCATAAGGGTATTAGCTGAAAAGAGTCTTGGCCTTAAGTAGCTTGGGAGTCTGTTCCGTCATGGTATGTTTACAGTACGGGGACGAACAAGGGAGAAATATTCCTAAATACAAAAAAATATCACAATATATAAAACATAAAGTAAGCAATGGTTTATGAAGTTTCAAGTGGGAACAGACTCACAGTTTGTAAGTTGGTGTACCAGCTCACGTCGGGCTCACCAATGATGACGCCACAGGTATTGTAGTTTGACGATACTTCAACCAGCAACACCTTCTATAACTGAACCGTGCCCACAAAGTGAAATTAAAAGACAGAAGCGAAGGGGTTCGAATATACATTTGATAGGTTATCAATGTATCGAGAAGTGACTGATCAAAGCTGGCTAGCCATTGTAGGAGAAGTTGAGAACGGCATTCCCAGATGTGATCTCGTGCGGATGCATGACCGAACGCCTTCAGTTAGGTGAGTCCATTAAAGCTAATGTGGACAGCATTCAATGTCGAAGACTTGTAGAGCTATTTATTTTGGGAGTTTATTAACCGCTACAGTAGACAATTGTTTACGTGTTCAAGAGCATTAGAAGCGTTCTCCCATGGGTTGCAAAATGATATAAGGCAGCTGCTTGATCGAATGCTTTCAGCTAGTTGATTTTCAGTGGCATAACATTGTCTTCGTCAAAGTCGGATATTTGAAACTACATAATTGTGGGCTATTTTGCCGTTGTAAACATTTCATTTTTCTAGCGTTTGAAATCTAAGAAAAAGTGAACACTATCATACTCAAGAACAGCTCTTATGAAGCCCCAAATATGGAATTTTATTTATATATTTTACTTGCTAATTACGTTTTCTATGATTGAATTCATGAGTCGATGTAAGCTAGACCACCATTGAGAACCTGAAAGAATTAGACGGCCGTTTCATCATAATATGGCGCAGAATCTTACATTGATCAATGAATTCAATTAGTCAACTTACTACGATCTCCCCAAACTCAATTCTGATGATGCTTACTTCCCAACAGCAATTGGACGTTGGATGCTAACCTTGAGTAAACGCGTCACATCTGATAGATAGCGTTCCAATGCCACCAGGATATTTCCGATGTGAACGATGAGGTTCTCTGTCGATGGACAAAGAAAGTAGAGGTAACTTTGACACCTGGAGCTCTAGAATGGTTTCTGGGGTTGAGTTTCGGTGCAAAGTAAAAGTGCCCACCATCAATGACCTACCAACTTTAAATGAAATCTCGTCATCGGATTTTGAGGTATTTCTTTCGTTTTCGTACGCGTGAAATGAATGTTTTCTCATTTTTTCACTTCGTAAACTCTGGGTTATACAGGGAGTTCTGTATTGATAAGCCGTATGTCTTATCTTTTTGCTCCCTCCAGCACTAATAATCTCCGGGGTCATAGCAAGAAGGTTCTGAAACCGCGATCTAATAAACTAAAGGTGGGATCCCGTTTTTCTCATCGAGTGGTCAATGATTGGAACGCTTTACCAGAACAAGTAGTATCAGTGAACATTTTCAAAAAGAAGCTGGATTTTCACTGGAAGGAAATCTGTCAGGATTAACACAGGTTCATCAACCTACTATCCTTATTACTGAAGACTGTAATGTTTATTATGTTGACACTCTCAGAGTCACTCTAGCGTCGCTCAAAGGTTGTCCATAACTTATAGTCTCACACATAACCCTACACATAAACCTTAGCTCTAACTCTAACCCGTAAACCATACCAATATACTAACATTATTGAAGCTATGTGGTCGAGGCTAAAAGAATTTTTGAGACCTTATCATGGTTTCAGAGATCGACTACTATGGAGCCATATGGATCAGTTCCTGTACCGTATGAACTATGATTTTAGAACTTCTGAACCTATATCTGACCTTGAGAAATTTTCGAGCCATGTAAAAGAAGTGTTTCCACTTTGTTTTTTTGGTTTTGTATAATATATTTTTACTGTATACTAACCGTCTTCTGATTGGCTAGTATTTCTCAAGGTCATTTAAGATTCGTTCAAAGGTCGGCAGTATAGTTTAATCCTACCCATAGTTCTGCTTAATGAAAACGCTGAAAAAGTGCAGAGTCCTTTGGCAGCACCCAGCAAAAATCCAAGGGTGTTTGAGATGCGTTTCTCTCCTTCTAAATGAAGATTGTTGCTTCAGGACTGAGTAACGTCAAAACCTGAACTAAGGATAGGGAGTGGAGTAGTTGAACGCCTCGATAACTTCACTTATCTTGGAAGTCAATGGGTTGGTGTCTGACGAAATCTCTTCACTGATTCAGAAGGCTCGTTTGGCTTTTACAAACTTGTGTCACCGATGGCGAAGTCCAGATATCCGTCTATCAATTAAAGGACGAGTATACTGTGCAGTAGTTTGTTTTGTCCTACTTTATCGCTGCGAAACTTGGTTATCAAGAGTAGTAGATACTCTTAAGCTACTAGTATTTGTTCACAAATGTCTTAGAAATATTTCCAGCATCTGCCGGGATCACCGAGTAAGTAATAGTGAGGTTAGACGCAGGGTATTTATTTTATTTAAACACATAAATATTGGAACAAGAAGCACCAGATAAATATGTGCCTCACAAATCTCATTTGATTTGTGTGAGGACTGTGATACTGCCCGGGTGCCCAAACCGAAGCAAGTGGTTTTCTTAGGGAGCCACACCCTGAGCCTTTGACCTAAAGGTTTGATCCACAAGGCAATGGAGCATCGTGAGCAGATGCAGTCCCATGATAGCCGGTGACCAACAATAGGTTCATACGCCATTCGTTCCATCAAGATCCTGTAGCCCATGTGCATCATTGATTTGGAATCAGGATTTTCCAACTCCCCTAGGTGGACCCTCCATGTCCACCAACCCGGTTAAAGCGCTGGACATTCGCTCTTCGTCCTCTCACTTTCGTAAACAACACCCTCGCTACGAGAAGGCAGTGAGTAGGACTTCCCTGACAGAGGCTATATATTCGCGTGGCCATGTGAGAGCATTTGGAGAGGGAGAGCGGACTCTCCCCACTTTCGGCCGTACCAGGGCATTTTGGTAAATCAGTTGACGGTGTAAATCTTCAGCAACTTAGATGGTTGGGTCTTGTGTTACGTATGACTGAACACCTACTATCACGGGCGCAATGCTGACTAGTTTTTGAGACAGTTGGAAAAAAGTTAAGGGCGGCCAAACCAAAACATAGAATCAGTCCATAAAGTCACAAACTTCTGGTCTGAGCCATGTTGGGAAATGTAGACTACTTGGTTTTGGTCCGCGCAACTATCTTAACCAATGGTAGGAGACTTTGGGTGACATGGCTCAAAATCTATCAAAATGGCGATGTAATCTTTTATATATTACTACCATTAAAGTAACTGCTTCTACGAATTTGGTGATCATCTTGTTGTGCTAATGAGGTGTGGCAACTTAGACCGATGGATATATGTGCCTGGTCCCACATTGTAGCTGACTGACTGACCGATTTTAGGCGATGTCACTTGATACGTGTCTTAACAGCACTAGAACCTACACAATAGCTAAGGTGCATCCACTATTTGTGTTCTCCCAAATTCTAATCTTCTGAATTCTTCATGTCCCTTTCTTTCTCTCTTTCCAAATTTATTTCACTGGTTTATACTCCTTGAATAACATCTTCAAACCTTAAACTTTCGGATTACTGCTTATACTCTTGTAACTTCTACCACTATGGTATTTGAATCGACAACTGCATCTCTGTGTAAATGTGGCATGGCAACCCGAACTGATGTACATACGTACGTACGTATATAGCCTCTGCCAGGGAAGTCCTACTCACTGCCTTCTCGTAGCGAGGGTGTTGTTTACGAAAGTGAGAGGACGAAGAGCGAATGTCCAGCGCTTTAACCGGGTTGGTGGACATGGAGGGTCCACCTAGGGGAGTTGGAAAATCCTGATTCCAAACCAATGGTGCACATGGGCTTCAGTATCCTGAGGGAACAAAGGGTGTGTGGATCAATCGTTGGTCACCGGCTACCATGGGACTGCATCTGCTCACGATGCTCCACTGCCTTGTGGATCAGACCTTTAGGTCGAAGGCTCCGGATGTGGCTCCCTAAGAAAACCACTTGCTTCGGTTTGGGCACCCGGGCAGTATCACAGTCCTCACACAAATCAAATGAGGTTTGTGTGGCGCAAATGTATCTGGCGCCCCTTTGTACCAATATTTGTGTGCTTAAATAATGATAATAATAAGCTGATTTATTCAACTTTCAAATAGTCAATGTGGAACTCTTCCCTTTTACTTAGTCTCGACCAACCAAACGGTTTTTATCGATAATCATTCTTTTTAAATAATGTCATATCTGGAAACCACTCATACTCATTAATTTAGGTCAGTTAAGTATTTAAAGACTAATGAAACCAAATAGGTCGGAACATAATTCCTCAAATTCTATCTTTTCTTATCTAAAATTTGTGTAATTGTACTATTTTGTGGTTAACACCTATTGTTATTTTTGACCTGATTTTTTAAATTGCATCCTAACGTTTTTGCTTTATTTTATTTGTAGTATGATTTTTTACACGAAAAGCAGGTTATTGCTGATTATGATGAATATTTTAAAGCAAAGAAAAATTTGGATGAAACACTTTCCACATCAGTGTGTGGAATTCCACTAGGTCAGTCAAACCCATTACAGGAAAACAATAAACAAGGCATCGAATTATCGCGGAGTTCTCATTTCTCTAAACCTCAGTCACTTTCTTCAAACAATTCGTGTCCAGCCTCGGTTATTGGGACACCTCCACCTGCTGCTAGTCATCTCGTCTCCGGGAAGATTTTGGAACCTAGCATAATAGATAGTGGAGCTTCTAGCCAACCATGTAAATCAGAGCAGATGAAGATTTCGAGTAATAACCCTGAATGTTCTAGTTCAGAGTTGATTCCTATGAAACCAAACTCTTCTACTAGTTCCACAATTTGTACATACTTAAAAGATTTTGATATCCAACCTGACGACCCATTCACGATGACTGAACTCAAAACAATAAATGAGCTTGAGGAACTTAAGCAAATTTTAATGCATGACTCCATTTCTAGTTCCTGTCAACTACAAGCTTATCATCCGACAACTAAGGATCTAATAAGCAATGATAATGAAGTTTCATCTGTCACCAACTGTTCTAATGCTCACTTTGTAAATTCAAAAAAAAAGAGTTACCCTCCTCTTTCTAGTTCAGAAAACAAACACGATTCTTGCAAATTTCCAGAAACAGCTAATTCATTTCAAAACAAAACTTGTTTCATAAATAATCATAAAGCTCAAGGATGTGCACAAGATGTAGCTATCTCAAATGGCCTTCATAATTCATCTGGATATGGAAATGCATCGACAAAATCTACAAAATTGCCTAGGCCATTTTTAAACTCCTGTGTTCCATATAGCATAAAGGTAAGCATCCCACTTCTCTGGTTTTTCTAGTGATCTGACTTCACTTTTAAAGTCAAACCAACCAAATGTAAATGTAATTAGGTGTGAACCTTACATATTGTGTGACTTGTAACGATAATACCTGACTGCACAAATTTCAGTTTATGTAATCTGAAATGAAGAGTTTTAAGGATACAGAATATCTTTTTCGTGGTTGCTGTAAATTTGTAAGCACCCGTTATCAAAACGCTGGTGGAATAGATCTAGATTATTATGAATTATCCCTCACTAATCTCGGCATGTTGTAGTTAGTTCAGATATTAGTGGCACAGTATGCGAGATTAAAGTGAAAATAAACATCTCTCATACCAGCTCCAAATGTTTTGGTAGGGCTTTACATAGTGTTGATTGTTTAGGTGAAAAATGGAGAGATTATAGTAATTCAAATCTTGTCGTTGATATTCATGAGTTTACCTACAATCGCAAGGGTAGCCATGCTTTAGGATTTCTCTCCTGATCAGGAAGTTACTACTGTGGTATTTAGATCTTAACGTTTGTTCTGTAGTTGTATACAGAAATAATTTACCAGATAGTAACCGTGATAGGGCTTTAAGCCTTCGTTCTTATTCGGTTCTATCAACAAAAAGAATTAAAACTTACATTTGAAATCAATGCTACTTGAGATCTGACTACACAAACCTGTACTTGGTAAATAAGTTGCATTCATTGATTCTATATAACAAATTATGTAAAACTTATTTTATGTATACATAAAGCGAAATTAGGGAGACATTGGGCGACAATAAAGTGATGAAAATAGTTGGATAATTGTGTCAGTAGTTGTGAATGTAAAAAACAACCACCTCTTTCCTGTATTTTAATTGATATTGATCGTATATTCTACCAGCATTCGTCTGAGAAAATGTAGCACATCATTTTACTAGAACTCTAAGTACAACCATATGATTATATCTATTCTTTAATGGCCTTTCAGTGTTAGTATAACTTAATTATATCATTGACTGATTTCAGAGACTTCGACCGACATTCTCGGGATGTGTGACTTAAGACATTTCCTGTTCTTCCAGGCAACCTGAAAGCTCCTTTTTTAGGCATTGTGCTACTAGCCATTTAGCTGGTATTGTACATGCAAAGTTGATAGTGGCCAAATATTTGGGATGTTTAACAACAGAAAGTAGTGTAGCTTTAGGTATCGACTTTTTTGATGCCTGAGGACAGTTGCATGGATCTCGGTAAACTGGAAATCAGGTAACTTTTGCTGTGGATATAAAAGTTTTATTTGACTGCCGTTAACATACAATGCCAGTCTAATTTACACAGTCAGGCGTTGTGGTTAAATGCAGAAACAAAAAATTACAGACATTTGTCAACAATGTCTCTGAAGCACTGTTGGTGTGTGGTTGAATTGTCGATATTGATTGTAACTTAAGCTAGTGTAAACTACATAGAACAAGATGGTTAGTAAGTTATTTGTTCTCGAACACCTTGCTTTCACGCTGTTTTAGACCAGTTAAAGGTTATGAGGTTAATCGGATTCACACTGCAATGATTTACGTGGTTATTAAACGACACGGCGAACTATTCGTTGAACTGCGACTTCTCGGTTATGTTCGGCAGGATTTTAAGTGTTTATATTTCATCTGTGAAAGTTCTAGCTTATCCCATTTGAACACTAACACTAACTAATCTCAGCTTTGTGTACTTAATTTTAAGCTATAGTTTTTTTTATTCAGATGAGTGATATCACATACTAAACCAAGCCGGGGTAAGTAGGATGACGTTCAAATCTGCAACTCAGTCATTAAATCTATCGTGATGGATCGCTTCTGAGGTGATAGTTCTAGTCATCTTATTTCTTAATGACTTGGAGAATTATTATGACAAAGCTAGGCTTTTTAGTTTTCAAGGTATAAACCTACCTCTTCTCAATCAACTTAAAGGGCTTTCAGTCGAAGCCGCCTTAAATTTTCTTGGATTCTCCTACTACTTCAACTGACATCATGATGCTTGAAATAATGTTGGTGGGTAAATGGGGGTCCCTTTCAGGGATTGAGGGACCTTGATTACAAACCGTTGTCGCATATTGTCTCCAGGATTTTTAATCAACAATTTGTGCGTAAGCCTACTTTAGCCACCGGCCATATTGTGAATGGATCTCTTGACATAACTTGTCTTCGACTTGAATCTAAGGGTCAAAAACTTTGGTGTCTGAATGACATCAAATCTTTCGTGTAAATCCTAGCGATTGAACATGGGGAATTTAAATCAATTTATGAATTAATACTCACAAACTCAATCGTTTTTATGAAAAAGTCCACATTGAATCGTGTTTCCATGCCTTTTTTCATTTCCATTTGGCTGTATGCTCTTTCCGTCTTGATTTTATCATTAATTTCACCATTTTTCTGTTAGAAGTTCAAATACCATCAGTTCGTTAGATGGTTACTTTCGTAATTTTATTACCTATTGATATATCAGTACTGTTTAGACCTGAAGCCTTAAATGTTCAGATAATGATCCCATGCAACAGGTTTATTCACTCAGTTTTGAGGCAAATATTCTTTTGTGTATTAGCAAGAGATATTGTGTAGTTGCTAAAACCGAAGTTTGCTTGTCTCTGTTCGTACCTGGGACCTGGTTGAAAATTCAGTACTTTAAACACAATTCCTCAGACCTCGGTATTTACATGTGCTTCTCATAATAATGCTATAGCATTGAGAGGTTGATCTCCTAACTAGAGACTCTCATCTATTTAGAGCATGCGAATTATGTGATTCCCTTTCTGCAAGTCCAGTATTTGTATGTCGTAAGGCTTGACGAATGTCGAACAAGTCATTTATGTTTGTCGAAAAAAATTTTGTTGACACTTGACAACTGTATTAACTCCCTCAAACTAGTAAATTAGTTCTTACTTTCAACCACCTTGCTCTTAGTTCAATAATCTGTTAACCAGCTATGCCACATATTTAGGAGAGGTACGAGACTTGTACTAAACATTTTCAAAATTTTGTTCAGGAGTCATGCTTCAGTTCAATTTTTTGGAGAAATACAATTATCTTGTCTAAAAAAGTCTTCACACATTCCAACCATCCTCCGATTAAAAATCTCAGTAGACATTTCTGTTTATTTAACTACTTAATCACTTCTAATTAAATATCGGTACCCTCTTATTTCTCTCTACTTTCAATTTCGTTCATACATCTGTACTTCATGCTTTTCCTCATAGATAATTGGTCAGCGAATATTTTGCTAACATGTCTTATGAATAAGCATAATTTTAGACCAGATTAAATAATATTGGTCTACTATGTAAATTTATTCCTTTCTATTTGTATTTATTCGTTCGATTGATTATCAAGTATATCAATCACATCCAACTGTGCATACTGGCTTAATAAAACATAGATATAATTGACATACAGTTTATCTTTGGGTCACGATTTACACATAAAGCAACCTAATGAATTAATAATATATTGATTTTCAAAACTTATGTTTTAATTTCAAGAAAATCAACTATCCCATCTATTCTTGTAAATAACTTCTAAGTACTATATACAGTTCCTTTAAGATATTGTAGTTTTTTATGTTCTTTATGTGCTATGTAGTGGAAGTACAGATCATATCGTAGTATAAGTTACACTGTTACTAATTGCTTTGAGTATGACAATGTCATTCATCGATACCAAACCACTAAGTTTACGTATCAGCTTGTTGCTCATAACACCAGGAGTTAATGGTTTAAAATCTTGAGATTATGAGTTGTTGTGGTCTCATGGTTTCATCAGTCAGCTAATCATTTATACCTCGGTCCAATATATATATATATATATATATATATATATATATATATATATATATATATATAAACAAGTGTTGTTTTTCGATTATCACTTTTAGTCGATTGCCTCCACCAATCAACCTCAAGCCTTCGATGGTATCGCTGAACAAACCAGTTTTGTGAATACTGAAAAATGTCAAGGCATGTTTAAAATCGATAATATCGGCATAGAAACACCTGTTCCACATCATTATGAGATAAAACTTTTGGAAAGTTTGTTGTCATGGGCAACAAATTGTGGTTTTTCTCATTCTCATGCTCGTCGTCTTTTAGAATTAGGATTACAGAAAAGAGGTAATTCATGATGTCATTTTTTTAAAGAAAAATGAATATATAACTGGTTCAATTTATCTTATTTTATCTCTCTCACTAGCTAGGTTTAATGTATATGTGACTTAAATATTATAATTAACTGAATAATTTCATATACATATTTTCCACACATATAGTAGCTTGTATGTTTATCCATTGTGTTAAAATTTGATATTTTTTTATTAATCACCTACTCACTTAAAGTACAATTAATGAAGTTCATATCATATCCTGTAAATATTATTGTTTTTGTTGTTTAAGTGAGTGTAGGTCGCAGTCAACATGATTCGTAGTATCATTGGTCGTTCAAGTTGTCGACTTTCCAGGGTTAGCTATGTCTTTTATATGTAAATGCTTCTAAAATATCATTCTAAGCGATTGGCTAACAATATAATGGTCATAATTGTCATAGTTCTAGCAAACGGTGAAATAATACTACGCAAAACACTCATGCAAACTGTTTTCTGGAATATTGATAACTCTTACAGGCTGTCTGCTCTAGTTAGAGCTCTGGTATTGTCTTAGTGCCCGATTTTTTATCTTTTCTCAGTTTTGTGCGCGACTATATTTACTACAAACCTAATTAAGATCGAAATGTAATTAATATTAACTGGGGGTCATGTTCTAAATAAGGTATACCATTACTTGGCTCATGATTCGTCAGGATTTTTAATGAAGTGTGTTTTGCGATGCTACACTGAGAATCGTGTGGCGTTTGGAAAAAGTTACATGGAGCTCCTGTATCTGACACTGATTACATCCTAAGTGTAATGTAGCTGGGATTTTTTTTATTGCTCATTCGTCCAGGGTGAAGTCGCATTACTACTCTTCCGTGAATTCCTTTACATGTATTTTACATCGCTATCTCACAACATCGGTCTTTCAACAAGCTTGAACATAAAACAGTAATTTTCTCAAAAAAAGTGACCTAACAAAGGGCCCAAACTTACACTGATTTCTAGTTAAGTGACATTTCCTATCAAGAGCCGTACGCTCTAAAGTAAGTTTAAGTTCGGCAATATAATACAGCTTGTTTTTAGCAGGAGTCATGGTCTCTAATCATTTGTAGCTTGGAATTTTCTTGTAACTGTGAAACAGTAGTGAGCGTGTTTCCTTCTATCCCAGCAAAGTCCTATTAATTGACCTAACCCGTTTTCAATCACATTGTGAACGCTATTAATACTGCCTGACTACAATAACTAGATTAAGTGAGGAGGAGCCCAAAATTGTGACAGTTGAAAACCTGGTTCCCTAATCACTGACGTGATCATTCTTTGTGTTAGTACCTTTTGAAAACCCCCGGTTTCATCAGATTGGCGATTAACGATTGTCCATCAGTTTGACCTGCTGTGATCTCAAGATACTTATGTGTGAAAGCTAAGCAAGTATTTGTTGTTGATTTTACGAATGACTTGGTTTTAGTTGTTATTTATTATTTATTTATTTAAACACATATATATTGGTACAAAAGGGCACCAGGTACATATGCGCCACACAAAATAATGAAAGTAGGAAGAGAAGGGATGAAAAGATAAGGCGGACTGAAATGTACAACCAGAAGACTCTTTCAGTTAGGAAAGTTAGAACCATTCTTTATGTAGAAAGTAAAAGAAGGTTGCAGCAGGATCGACACTGGCTTCTATTCTGAGCCATATCTGATAACGTCTCTAGCCACTGTGCTGCACCATCTCTCGGACCCCAACCAAGGAGTCGTGAAGGACCAACAGAAGCTAGCCCTTTGCAGCTCTCTTTCATGCCACGACACCATGTCATACACTAACCTCCTCTCCGCTTTTTTCAACCAGTCCCAGGGTCGGCAAATAATGCACGACGTAGAAGTCTCTGGGACGACATTCGTAAAACATGTCCAAGCCACCGAAGTCGGTGTTTCAAGATGGTGACACCAATTGAATTATCGTCTCTGCGCCCGAACACACGATGCCGAACCTCTGCATTACTAACATGGTGTTGCTACTGGATGTCAACAATCCTTCGGAGACAACGATGATCGAACACGGAGAGACGTCTAACATCCTCAACTCGGAGAGTCCAGGTTTCACAAGCATAGAGCAAAACTGCTCTCACCGACGCGTTGTAGATCCGACTTTTTACAGCCAGACTAACATCACGAAGGCGCCAAAGATGGCCCAGATTGGCATAAGCCGCTCTGGCTTTCATTATACGTGCATCAATCTCATCACTCACGCCACCACCAGCACTTATGTAGCTACCTAGATACACGAACTTCTCAACTACTTCAATCTCCTCACCATCCAGGGTGAGTACAGGATGAGAATCCTGCCAGTCTTGTAGAAGTACTTTGCACTTTGAGGGTGCAAAGCACATGCCGTACCTGCGGACACTGATTGCCAACTGATTAAGTGCTGATTGCATGCCTTGGGCATTATCGCACAGTAAGACAATATCATCCGCATACTCGAGGTCGAGAAGTCGTTCTCCAGGCAACATATCCACACCGCCATTACTTACATCCATCAGAGCTGTTTTCAGGATGTCGTCGATGGCAAAGTTGAAGAGGAATGGTGAGATCGGGCAACCCTGTCTAACCCCACTGCTTAAATGGAACAAGGGATAAAGGTGGTTGTATGCCCTCACTCTGCCTGAGGTGTTCGTATACAGGGCCTTTAAGATGTTAATGAACTTCTCAGGCACACCCTTCTTCAATAGACAATCCCAGAGAACAGTCCTGTCCAACGAATCGAAGGCAGCCCTGATATCAAGAAACACTACGATTGTTGGCCTGCGATAAGTATGACGGTGTTCTAACATTTGGCGGAGGGTGAAGATGTGATCAATGCATCCTCGACCAGAACGAAAACCAGCCTGCTCCTCGCGAGTCAATCGTTCTCGGGTTTTAAACAACCTACGAAGAATGATAGAAGCCAATAGTTTGGACGCAATCGAAAGTAGACTTATCCCCCGATAGTTATTGCAGGAACAACGTGAACCCTTTTTAAAGATAGGGACGACTATTGACTCATTCCATGATGTCGGAACATTTTCTTGCTCCCAAACCTTTCCAAACAACACAGTCAATTCCTTAGTCAGAAAGTCACCACCATCTTTAAAAAGAGCCGGAGGTAAGTCATCTGGGCCAGGTGATTTGTAACGTTTCAAGAGTTGGAGTTCCTTGAGGACTTCCGCCTCGTTTGGTGGATCAGTCGTCACCGGCCATGGGGGGGCAGGACAAGCTGGTTGATGTTACCGGAGCAGCAGGCCAGTTGAACTGCCCTTCGAAAAATTCCGCCCATCGTCCAAGACGTCGACAGATGTTAGTGATTGGCATCCCGTCATCCTCGTAGATTGTTTCACTCACACCAGACTTCTTGCTGCCAGTGGCTCGGATGAGTTGGAAGAGCTTCCGGCAGTTACCAGATGCAGCTGCTGCTTCCATCTCATTAGCACGATCCGACCACCAGGCTTCCCGGTCCTTACGCAAGCTTTGCCCGATTTCATTACGTAACAGCCTTCGTTTGTGGTCAAACTCACGGTCACCCGAAGTAGACCGACGGGCTTCCATCAGTTGTAAGGAGCCAGAAGAGACCCAGTGCTTGTAAGCGGGACGTTTCGCGAAGCCGCAAGCGGCTTTACTCGCCGTTTTCATGGCGTCGTGAAGATGCAACCAATGCTCATCTATACTTTTCGGTGGGTGTTAGCTAGCCTAGAGGCTAGCTCCGCTCGATACTTACTTGCAACAGAAGTTGCAGCCAGTTTACTAATATCAATCCGTTGGTGGTGGTCAATCCTTCGGCCACTGAAAAGTAAGTTGAGATTGGCGCAGACCAGGGCATGATCAGACTCCAGATAGGTACTCCAAAAGGAGCGGCAGTCTTGTACACAACCACGCCAGCGGTAGCTGATCGCGATGTGATCAATCTGAGTCCAGGCTTGGGATGCAGTGGGAGGACGCCAGGTGGCACACCGGCGATGACTGTGCCGGAAGTTAGTGCTGGCCAGAAACAGGTTGTGGTCTGTGCACAGTTGCAGCAAACGGTCCCCGTTATCTGTCCGGCGACCAACAAGTCCCCATCGGCCACCTAGACCACTCTCTTCTGTGCCTAGACGCCCGACCTGTGCATTCAAGTCTCCGGCTAGTACTACAATATCTGTCGAACGCGCTTTCTGGAGAAGAACTGTTAACTGATGGTAAAACTCATCCTTGATTGCATCCGGGCTGCAATCTGTCGGGGCATAGGCGGAGATGACAAAAAGACACCGTTTCTCACGCCGATTTCTTCTCACTTTGATGGAACTTTCTAATCTAACAGCACATAATCGACTGTTAATGGGGATCCAATCGATTAGTGCTGCCTCAGCCGTAACGCTTAGTGCGACACCAACGCCAGCAAGACCAGACGAAGATGCCACAGGGTCCCCGGATAAGCGCACGTGGAACAAGCTTTTCGAGGCGACAGATGGAGAGCGGATTTGTAGTACTTCACTAGAGTCTTGAATACGGGTCTCGGATAGACAACAAATATCAACATTAAGACCTTCCAAAGACATAGCCAGCCCTATCTGTTGTCTGATATGCATTAGTGTGCGAACGTTGAAGGAAGCCAGCTTGAACGGCGTACGTGGTTTCAGAAAGACTGCCTCAGTATTCATTATCGGTGGAAGCATTCACTTTCAACCAGACAGTGACTGGAGATCGTTTAGATAGGACAGATTTTCCACCAAGAGCAAGCTGCTGCATAAGTTGAAGAGTAAGGTTACACAAATTGGGGATAAAAGGGGGTGAATTAGCGATATGGTAAATAATAATAATAATAATAATAATAATAATGTAAATTGTCTTGCTTATAATATGAGCAGGAATAGAATCGTCAATAGAGTTCATCATTTCATTCATTTGTGTGTGGGATGTGATACTGCCCGGGTGCCCAAACCGAAGCAGGTGGTTTTCTTAGGGGACTACACCCCGAGCCTTTGACCTAAAGGTCTGATCCACAAGGCAGTGG